ATCTGAGTAGAAATCACTACAAAACGTGTATCTGACAAAATACCTGTATCTAATCTACATAAAGATTTCTTATAATACAATAATATGAAGACAAAACAAGAAATGCTCAAAATATTTGCATAATTCTCCAGAGAAGATATATAGGTGGCAAATAAACACATGAAAACATGTCCAGGGGCACCTGGGCAGCTCAGTCGGTTAAGCAGCTAACTCTTACTTTCGATCTCGGGGTCCTGGGTTCAAGCCCCACATTGGGCTCTGCACTCAGGGAGGAGTATGCTTGAGGATTTTCTCTTTTCCTCTCCCTCTGCCCCCCCAACCCACACTCTCCTTATAAACATAATTAAATCTTAAGAAAATATGTCCAATATTGCTGATTAGGAAAATCATATTAAGATACCACTATATGCTCGTTTGGATGGTTACAATTAAAAAAGATTAATCAGGGACGCCTGGGTGGCTCAGTTGGTTAAGCAGCTGCCTTCGGCTCAGGTCATGATCCCAGCCTCCTGGGATCGAGTCCCACATTGGGCTCCTTGCTCGTCAGGGAGCCTGCTTTTCCCTCTGCCTCTGCCTGCCATTCAGTCTGCCTGTGCTCGCTCTCTCTCCCTCTCTCTCTCTGACAGATAAATAAATAAAATCTTAAAAAAAAAAAAAAAAGGCTATTGCCATAAAAAAAAAAAAAAAAAGATTAATCATACCAAACGTGAGAACATGTGACGTAAAGGTAACTCTCATGCGCGGCTGGGGAGAATGTTAAAATGGTATAGCTACTTTGTAAAACGTTTTGGTAGTTTCACAAAAAGTTTAATATATACCTACCATAAGACTCAGACACTCTGCATCTAATCTTTCCCAAGAGAAATAAAAGTATATATTCACACAAAGACTTGCATGTGAGTGTTAATGACAGCTCTTTACATAATTGCCAAAAAATGAAAACAACCCAAAGTCCATCAACTAGTGAATGGATTTATAAATGTGGCATATCCAAGGAATGGAATACTGGTCAGCGATAAATAAATCGAACTATTGATAAACACCCCAACATGGATGAATCTCAAAATACTTATGTTCAGTAAAAGACAGAAGACAAAAAAGAGCATACATTGTACGATTCCATTCATATGAAATTCTAAAAAATGGAAAATATCCTATAGTGACAAAACAGAACCATGGCTGTCTGACGACAGGGAAGGGGAGGAAGGAGGGATGGATTATAAAGGAAAATGAGGAATCCTGAAGGTGATGGATGTTCATTATCTTGACTGTGGTGATGGTTTCAGGACACTACATTTGTCAAAATTTGGTAATCTGTACACTTCAAACACGTGCAGTTTACTGCACATCAATAATACTCGGTAAAGCTGTGAAACAAAGTACTTAGTGCAGTAAGCCCTCCATAAATATGATTGTTTTAAAGATTTTACATATTTATAAGACAGGGAAAAAAAAAGAAGAACCCAGATTGCTTACTTCAAGGAGAGCGGATTACTTATGTTGTTCTCTCCAGTCCAGAAATGGGGGAAGAACCTAATGAAACCTCAAGTCCCTGGGGTACCAAAAAAAATCTCACTGCCCTCCAAAGCAGAGAATCCACCCAGCCACAAAAATGTAACAACAATAAGCAACTAAAAAATAATTAACAACAAGAAAAAACCCCCAAAATGCACAATCACAAGAGAATGCTCCAACATTAAGAGAAAGAAACCCTAGATGTCTAATGGTAACTTGAAGAGTTGGGAGAAAGCTCCAGTGTTTCCACAGCACTGGGGATTTATACTCTATAGTGTTCCAAAGGAGTAACTTTACTGTTCTCCCATACCTCTTTCCAGATAAGCAGTCTCCTGATCAATCCTTAATGAACAGATCTCCAAGGCAGAGAACAATAATTTATTTATATTGAAAATTATATTGAGTGCTTAACTAAGTAAGTATGAGGCATTCATTTAATCCTCATTACAATCCTAGGAGCAAACTGAGACACAGAGGACATAGTTACCTGCCTGAAGACATATAACCAGTAAATGATAGAGCCCGAAGTCAAAGTCAGGCAATCTGATGCTGAAATCTGTGTTCTTTACCATAAAACTATCCTACAATATGTTCACATATTAGAAGAGACATGGTTTTTTACTTTACAACATGCTGATGGTGAAACTCGTATGTTAACACTATGTTCTTTGCCCTAAGACCCTAAGATGCCTCATGACGATATCTTGAGAATTGGATTAAAATACAAATGATATATTTTCAGCTAGAAGACATTTTATAAATTATTACAATTTCTTTAAAACGTAATTCTATTAGCTTAGAAACCACTAAAATGGAATCCTTAGAATAGATCACTCCTTCTGCCTTTATTCAGTTTTATGATTAATTTAGTCCCTCTAAATGAAAGTGGTTTTACATATTGAAACATTCTTTATAGGAAAAAGAAATCTATTTGATATTTTAGCACCCAACATTTCTTTTTAGGGCAAATTCCTTTCCTGCAATGTAAGACACTAAGAATTAATTTTGCTTCTTCTACAGAGACAGGTAAGACAAATACACATTTCTTCCAGAGGAATTTACCTTGAAATAAATTTATATTTAAAAAAAGAGCACAAAACTTTTTAATAATCAATGCTGCACAATTATTTATTTTCACTATTAAATGACACATTCAGTTGGTTGATTAGATATATTATGCACATAGTCAACCTTTTATTTTCCCATATAAGACATTACCCAACACCTGCTATCTGCCAGCCATGGTTATATGTGGTAGAGCACGAAACAAAACACACAAAAATCTCCATGCTCTTGGTACTGACATTCCAGAGGGGTAAAGTAGATCAAATAAAAAATATAGTGTATCAGATGGTCAATTTAATAAGACAAAACAAGACAGGGGTTGAGAGTGCAGGGTCTCGGTGGGGCAGCTGAAAAGAGAAGCGTGTAGTTGCCTTTTAAATAGTCTGTCTTCAAAGATCTTTAGTTGAGATCAGGAAAGGAGAATATGTAAATTAAGGTGGGGATGAACAGAAATTTGATTCACCTCCTTGCCTCATGAGAAAGAATCACGTATAACAGATGGTAAGATTGAGGGTTAGGAAGTCTCTTCAAGTGCCTAAAAGTCAGAGGAGTATTCCCAATGTCCAAAAAGGGCTAGATGAAAAAACCTGAACGGAATCACAGTGTTATTCAGCTTCTTTCCACTACCTCATGATCACACCAAAAATAAGATATTCACACTTTCACCTCTAATTGAGTTACAGTTCTTCAAAGAAGAAGGTGGTTCAAAGCAAAAATCGCTATTAACATTCTACATCAAGGAATATGTACCATATGAAAATTGTAAAATAATATAAATCTGAAACTAACTGTCAATTCTGTCAATAGTAAAGTTAGATAAAACTAAATATATTTTTAAAGCATAAAACAAAATGTAGCCCAATCATAAGAAATCACTAAGTTTCTAAACAAAAAAATCAGTTGCGTGCACACAAAGCCCCTAGATTTTTCAAACAAATTTCCTCAAACTGTTTTGGTAGAAATGAAACATTTTTCAATTATTGCACATACAAGCATTAGACTGTACCAATTTTAAGCCAATTTGTCTCTTGTGTGAAAGTAATAATGCTGATAACTTTATTATTGTGTTGGAGTCACTTAACAAATTGCTACTCATCTAAGCCAAAGGATAAGGGCTCTTCTAAAGTTTTAGAATTACAGAGGAATCAAACAAAGGCCCTTCAGCCATTAAGCGCCCCACTATGAAGAATTCCCTTTACAAAATCCTTGATAAAATGGGTTTCACTGTTTGCCACCATTTAAAAAATATAAGTCCCTCCTTATTTTAAATCCACACCTGTCTCCCTCGATTCCCTATTTGTATTAGTCTTTTTTTAGAAATCAAAATAAGCACCCAAGGCTCCTCTTCTCCAAATGAAACATGCCCAGTTCCCTCAAATATTTCTCATATAACAATGGCACCTACTGTTTTAAAGATGCATGTAACACTTTATTCAAACTTCATCTTAAATCTGTGTACAGTGGTATTTCATTTCTTCACTTAGTTCTTACCAAATGCTTAAGCTTAACAACTAATCTCTTTAAAAAGCATATGTTTTCTCCATCTTTTGCTTGTAGAATGATTTTCTCAATCTAAATGAAGTTCTCATAAATCATGCCAATAACTCAGTCATTACTGGCATTATTTACTTATTTTTGAAGGAGTGGGCCAGAACATGCACCACTAGTAGATTAAAAAAAAAAAAAAAAATCACACAAAGCAAGTAGTTTGTCTAGCACTGATGCATTAACACAGGTTTATTTAAGAAGTGGTCTATTAACCAACACGCTGGGATGCTTGTTAGAAATGCAATTCCTAGGGGCGCCTGGGTGGCTCAGTGGGTTAAGCCGCTGCCTTCGGCTCAGGTCATGATCCCAGGTCCTGGGTTCAAGCCCCGCATCGGGCTTTCTGCTCAGCAGGGAGCCTGCTTCCTCCTCTCTCTCTCTGCCCGCCTCTCTGCCTGCTTGTGATTTCTCTCTGTCAAATAAATAAATAAAATCTTTAAAAAAAAAAAAAAAAAAAAAAGAAATGCAATTCCTAGACCTCTTGAGACTATGGAATCAAAATCTCTGGAATGGGGCCTGGAGATCTGCAGTTTGAAGAGCCACAAAGGAGATCCTTGGATATCCTGAGGTTTAAGAATCATAGCCTGGGGGCGCCTGGGTGGCTCAGTGAGTTAAAGCCTCTGCCTTCGGCTCAGGTCATGATCCCAGAATCCTGGGATCGAGCCCCGCATCGGGCTCTCTGCTCCGTGGAGGGCCAGCTTCCTCCTCTCTCTCTGCCTGCCTCCCTGCTTACTTGTGATCTCTCTCTCTCTGTCAAATGAATAAATAAAATCTTTAAAAAAAAAAAAAAAAAATCATAGCCTGAAGATTGAAGTCAGTTTTTTTTTTTTTTTTTTTTTTGGGCCTCCTAAAAAAAGATATTTTAAGTACCTTACCTGTAATCCAGGAATAAATCGACTATCCTTTTCAACCACCAAAAGTTCAGCAACATTGGCATTAAGAATGGATCTTGTGATTCCCCCTGGCCCAGGGCCCACTTCATACACATAAGCATCTGTAAGATTCCCAGCTTTCCTTACAATTTTATCTAGGAAAAAAAACATTTTAATGATTTTGATAAATTTCAGTGTGCAAAATTTAATAATCTCTATAGATTCTCATCAACTGTTATTCAAGGAATCCTCTATACCATATTTGTCTGATTATTTAACTCAACCTGAACCAACATATAGTGGCCATTCACTATGTGATCACAACACAGTTGAATTATATTATCAGTCCCTTAACAAAAATAGGATTATCATGACAAACTTCCTAAATTAAATATAGTTAATACTGTATTTTCCTCCACCAAACCAATCAATCAGTTCCTAAGAACCGACCAGGTAAGCACTCACCATCTCTCTACAGTTGCCAAATACTGAATATTTGAATAAGTAAGACTAGTTTTACATTCAAAATTTCCAATACTGCTAGTTTGAAATCCCAAAGCAAAAAGTGCTGGCAGTCTCACTTTTACCTGTAGACATCCAGCTGGTCCATATGGCCACAGCAACAAGTCCCTAGATCATAGGACTAGCAGAAATATAGATTCTTGGTCATTTTTAGGAAAAAGTTAAACTTCTTAAGTGGAGTTGTTGTAAGCTTTGCAAATATGCAAATTAATAAGGAAAAGTTAATGTCTTAAATTAACCTCTTTAACTTAGCTGACCTTAAGAAATAATGAAAAAGGGGGCGCCTGGGTGGCTCAGTGCGTTAAAGCCTCTGCCTTCAGCTCAGGTCATGATCTCAAAGTCCTGGAATCATGCCCCTCATTGGCTCTCTGCTCAGCGGGGAGCCTGCTTCCTCCTCTCTCTGCCTGCCTCTCTGCCTACTTGTGATCTCTGTCAAATAAATAGAATCTATTAAAAAAAAAAAAAAAAAGAAAGAATGAAAAAGTACAGAGGATTCACTGCAACCAACTATCACTTCTGAAAAAACATATGATGGGCTGATCTTATTGACTGAGTTACTAAAATCCAAGTAACTGGGCCTCCTGGGATAGTGGAAATTTAGCCACTGAAAACATACCAGCACTTTCTTGCAGTGTTCACGGAGACTGTATAGTACCATTTTTGTAGGCTTAAAACCCCAAATAGAAAGCAAAAATGGTTTTGTCTTTTTTTTTTTTAAAGATTTATTTATTTTATTTAGAGAAAGAGTGAGGGGGAGGGGGGGAGAGAGAGAGTCTCAAGCAGACTCACCACCTCAAAATCATGACCTGAGTGGAAATCAAGAGAGGAACACTAAACTGACTGAGCCACCCAGGCACCCCAAAATTGTTTTGCTTTTTAACTGGTGCTCAGAGGGAATTAGCATATGCTCATCAACCATTGCTTTTAGGTGCTTTACATGCTTTCTCACTTGCATCTCACAATCCTTCCAACACATTAAGAACTACTATCCCAATTTAACTTCTTTAAACTTTTCTATTTCCTCCTTATTGTTTCATCGTGCAAGGTCATCTAGAAAGCAAATGGAAGAGAGCTGAATCCAGCTCAGGTGTAAATTCTAAAGCAATCCTTCCTCCACTACAAACCAATGCCTTTTAGAAGGAACACAACTGATACATTAAGCACAGGCATTATGAATTTAACATTCTCATTCTCTTAAACGGAGAGCTAGTATAGTTGAGAGGTCAGGGGCTCTGCCCTCAAACTTTTCAGGCACAAATACAAATGAATATCAAAGTGGCACTGTCAATTCAGGAAGCATCTGTTCCCACCTGAGCTTCTCACCTCAAACCAAGTACTTTAATCTCCCTTCACTTTGGTTCCCAGAGAAAAGGGAATAGTACCCAGATTCCAGAATCTGTAAACAAAGGACTTTTTTTCTACATAAAAATATAAAGACCTATATTTTCCATCTTAAGAATGGTATTTTATACCTACAGAATGTGACTAATGACTGGCAGACAAAGCTGGTTCTAGTTACTACTAGAACTAAAGAATTTTAGCGGTGGGTAACCCTTTAAAGATCTTGTAATAGGGGTCTTCCTCCAACTAACAGATGAGAAGTTGAAGCTTAGTTAAGCTATTTTACCCAATGTTGTATTTCTACTAGCAGAATAAAGACTCCACATCCAAGAAATAAGACATCTTATTGATGGCTTGTGGACTATACTTAACTGAAAATGAACTATTTGTGTATGATCTCTCCTATCTTTCAGCTTCTCGAGAGGCACCAAAATGGAACTAAATATCAAAACCTCAAATACGGTAAATATTCCAACAGTGAACTAGTGGACATATTTGTAATACATATTATTTATTCTTGCAACCTCACTTTTCAGAAGAAAGTATCACCAAGATATGGGGTGGCGGTTAAATGGGGTATACGTCTGTCACAACTCATCAAACCCTACACTTCCAACTGGTTAATTTTATTGCACGTAAATTTTACCTTACAAAAAGTGACTTAAAATAGGGGTGGGAATATAAACTTGCTAAAAATGTAAGCTCCCTGAGGACAGACTTTTGGCTGGTTCACTCCCAAATTGCATCTCCATCACTAGCACACAGTAGCTTCTCTGACATGTATTTACTGAATATTGCGCCCTCGAGGGTTTTGGATTCAACAAGTAAACATTTAAATAACGTAATCCCAGGAGTGATACTTTTTCAATGTTACTTAAAAATTCTTCGCACTAATTTAAATTGATAACTTTACATTGCATGAGAAGCCAAACTAGCCACACACGCAGTACCCTTTCATTAGTGTTAACACACCGAGATTCGAATTTCCACAACCGCCTTTCACGCTACGCGACCCCTGCCTCCCCTAGTGTCTGCTCGGCGTCTGCACAACTTGCCTTCACCAGCCCACGGCGAACGCCCGCGAGCACGCCATTATGTCGGCGAACAAGACGTTCCACGCGTCTCCTGCGCTCCTTTCAGCACAAAGCGGTAGAAGGACCTGACCTAAGGCCCCCTGCACACTGCCTGACCTCAGACACGCGCCCGCAGGGTCCGCGCGAAACGCCCTGCCCACGTCCCCGGGGATGCGGAGGAGCACTGAGAAGACAGCCACCTGTCAGCCTCAAGTCCAGGAGAAAATTCTGGGATAGCTGCTTCGCTGCTTGCAGCCTGAATAACTTAATGATTTCTCGAATCGTGGGCAACGGCGGGAGACGGAAAGCGCTCAGCGTCCCAGAACCAGCCATGCAGCCCCACGCAACAGTCCCAGTCCTACCACAGACTTTTCGCGCTGCTCTTAAATCGTCCGCGGAAAAGGAAGTGGGGGGGCGGGAGCGGGGAGCATTAAGGCCCGCCTCCGAGCCCACCTTATTGGACGGATGTACCTCGCCGGAAGCGCTGAGGACAGAAAGGAAATCTGGGCGTACACAGAGCGCATGCGTCGAGTCTCGCTAAGCGCGGTGCAGGCTGGGTGTGAGCTGCTTTTCGCCCTTGATGGTGTGAAGGCGCGGTGGGGGGGGCGGGCGGAGTCTCTCCTGGGTGGGCGGTGGCCGGAGCGGCCGGGGGGGCGGGAACGAGGCGGGGCCTGGACCAGAACGCGGAGGGGCGAGTCAGAGGATCTTGGAGCCCGGAAACACTCCGAGGTGAAATCTCGCAGATAGCCATACCTAATTCCTCTCTGTGGATAATTGCGGGAAAGCCAATGATTAGAGGCAAAACTATTGGTTGCTAACGATTTTCTCATGATAGATGTTTTTAGAACGTTAGCATTGTAGGTGCCGGAGGGCAGGTTTCTAACTTCTTTCAACCTTAGTTTTTCATCTGTTAAATGGAGATATTTTTTGCAGGAACGTAAAATTGCAGGAACTAAATGATAAAAGTCGCCTGGTGTACAGACTCAGAACACAGTGCAATGCACGGCATGCATTAGGCCTGTAATCAATGGTGGCCGTTACTACCCTAATGATCTAGCGGATGAACGGGCCAGAGAGGTTAAAGGATAGGCGCACAGTTTGCAGTGAGGAGGCCAGAGCAAATCCAATTCTTCTGCCCCCCTCTACACGTATCCAGTCAATGAGAAAAACCGCCTTGTTTAGAGTTCGGGAAGTGTTTTCGCGTATAGCGAATATTTGTTTTTGAGCCTTTCACTAACAGTTTTACCATATAAGTATTACTAGTCTCAGAGCGGAGAAAACAAAAACTTAGAGAGGTGATATAAATTAATTGATATTCACAAAGCTAGAAAATTGTGGAACCCAGATCCAATCTAAGTTTCTGGACATGTATGGTAGCTGCTCTTCCTGGTCCCCTGCCCTGGAAGTGTTAGTTGCCACTTCTTGTTCGCTTTCCCATAGTTTTCTTACTGCCCCTCCATGCTCCAGTTGTTGTAGCCTCTTCTTGCAGTACCTGGAAAGGTAAGGATGAAAAGGAAGGGAAATAAACATGATAATACTAAGAATAGCTAACATTCATTGAGCTTTTCCCAAAGTACCAGGCTTCACAGTTGAGTGCTTTACAGCTATTGTCTCATTAATTGTTACAAAGATAAAGGCTCAGAGAGGGTCAGCAATTTATCCAAGGCTGCATAGCTATAAAGTAGTGGAATTAGGATTTCAATCCACAAGCCTACGTCCAGAGCCTGCTTTTTAAGCAGAACAGTCCATGTTGAGAGATCATTTGACTTGCCTAGGGTGGTTTCATCTAAGTACAAAGACTCAAGTATGAATTCTATTAAAACAGAGGAAACAACAAAAAACAAAGAAGGATTGAAATTACTCTGCTATATAGGAGAATTTAGCTTTTCTGACTACTCTTTTTTCAAATTGTTGCCTTGATCACAAGCGAATCATAACATTTTTTTATTTCTCAGAATAGTAAGTTTAAAATAAAACTAACAGAGGGGTGCCTGGGTGGCTCAGTGGGTTAAGCCTCTGCCTTCGGCCCAGGTCATGATCTCAGGGTCCTAGGATCAAGTTCCGCATCGGGCTCTCTGCTCAGCAGGGAGCCTGCTTCCTCCTCTCTCTCTCTCTCTGCCTGCCTCTCTGCCTACTTGTGATCTCTGTCTGTCAAATAAATAAATAAAATCTTTAAAAAAAATAAAATAAAGCTAACAGAAAACCAAGTAACTGCAGATATGATATGAGTGAAATCTATGAATGAATTTTTCATAGAAATCTCAATGGAAAACCCAACCACTTTCTCTTATAACTATGTTAAAAAGAACTGTGAGATAATCTGACATAGCTCCTAGCTTTAGAAAATTGGAAAGTGACTCCCAAAGAGGTAAGGTGATTTGCCCTACGTAGCATCGAAGTGTAGTTTGAAAGCCTAAACTCTTGATTCAGAGTCCTTATATTCCACAGCATACTGGGAAAGGCGTTCATTCACAGTTATATTAATTATTTCATTGACTCCTCATAGTGTTCTTATGTGAATGAGATTGTTACTGTTTTACTGTGAAGGAGGTCATTTGACTTACCCTATGATCACGTAGCAAAGTTCAGAAAGAAGATTTTAAGTTTTTTCTTTTCTGAGTTCTAATCTCATGGGTCACAGCCCTCAGGGTAAATTATTTTTTAAGTTAACCACTGTATGTTAATTTTATGAGCTTATTTAAATAAATGGAAGATGAATCTGAGTATAAAGCTTAATTTTACAGTTTTCGTATGGCTATTTACTAAAACAATCACAATAAATAGATGCAAAGCTACACAACATTAATGATGCAATGGGTTAAACCCTGCTCTTGATGTAGACTGGCAGGATTTCGTTTCCTTAGAGTTCAGCTTACTAAGGTTATAGTGTGCCATGTAATGATTTTCTCATCAATTTTTGGGATCCAAATTACCACCAAATCTTTGCTCAGAATTTTTGCCATTGTACCTTGCCTTTCCTTTAGAGGAACATGGAAGCTACCTATTAAAGTCGGCTTGTATCTATCTGTTTTCATTAACTTGGAGACAAATGAAGTTGAATTACTTGGCACTAGTGCTATCCTGAATATATATGTTGCATGGCAGTTAGGTTACAATCTATTATTTACAAAGTTTCCCAGGCTACTTCACTTAATTCTCATTTCAGTTCTGTGATAGGTTTACAAAGATATCAAGTGTGCCCTATTATGGTGCTGGTAAGTGCAGCTGAATCTCAAATTCTGATCTTCTGAGTCTACTCTGGTCTTCTACCTCAGGCATGTGTTAAATAATTGTTGAGCTGAATTTTTAAAATTCCATTTTAGAAGAATCGTCCAAGTTTTTAGAATAGTTCTTGAGATCTAATTTTTATTATCATAAATACTGACCCTCAGTCCTTTAATTTTCAGAAAATTATGCATAACTCCCTACAAAGCCTATGAAATCAGCAGGGGGTATTTTAGTAGTATATTTCACATATTAATGCAAACAGTTTTATCCCTTAAAGAGAAGTATGCAGTTTCATCAGTTTTGAAGCTTTGAAGTATCTGCTTCATCTAGATACAGATTTTAACATGCTAAAATATTGTAATTAATACAGAAATTACTAGCCCCACCTATCAGTGAAGATGAAGAACTACAAATGATTCATACTGCGCTATAATACAGAATTTTAATTTTCATAGATCCCAGAATGGTTACATAGCAAAATTATTTATTATTTTATATTTATTTTAATGAAAGTGCATATGTGACTTTATTTGGCAAAGTGATTTAGTGTCTATTTATAGAAAAAGGGCTAATTCCAAAAGGTTGTCATTTTACAGTTCTCTGAAATAGACTTGAAAGCCACAAAGAGCAATATCTTTCTGCTGTGTGGGAATTTTCAAAGAAAATTAAATGTGGCTTGGAATTGCCAAATTGAACTTTATAAAATGACTATTATGGTATGTAAAGTGCCTTTTCTGATAGTATTTTATAATTTCACATAATATGACTCAATATGACTCAGTGCTCTTGAGAAATATTAACAGCTGTATTTTGCACATATTTAGGCTTTTTTTTTTTAATGGTTGTTTGATGCCCACTGTTCACAGAGGAATCTAGTGACCTACCTAGAGGTAAGAAGGAAATACATGATAATTCTGAACAGACAGGCCAAGTGCTTACTCTCTGGGGATAGAAGCAGGGCAACTTGTGGCAAGCAACACAGGCTAATTGCCAGAGGGAACCATGTAACAGTAACACTATTTTTAAAAATACAGTGTTTATTACTATTCCAGGCAGTATTTGAAAACCTGCAGATTATCCCCAAAGATCTGTGAATTATTGTCAAGTATCTTAATGAGGTGATGAGGACAGACAACTCTTTCGACTTAGGATGATTCAGAGAGCTGTGGGTAGGGTTTCTTTTTTTCCCTTTTTTTCCTAAACAATAAAGCAAAATCTTTTTGTGAAGGAAGAAAAAAACCAGCACAAGCTAAAGGCATTGTAAAAATAATTAGCCTTTATTATATTAATAGTTTTTTAGTCTAAACCTCAACGTTTAACTGGAAAAAAAGCTTAAGAATAAATAAAACTGTGAGTAAGAACACGTTTGCATTTAATAAGGCACAGGGAGCACAGAGACATTGAGTGCCCAAGTTCTCCCAACTCTTTACTGAGAGAGCTTGGACAATGTGACTGCAGCTTTGGGTCGTGAGTCCTCTTGCAATGGCTGGCAGTTAACCTCTCTTTGGAGTACTCTGTTCTCTCAACTTCTACCACAGCCTGTGTCTTTCTCTTTCCCAGATGCTGACTTCTCTTCTACCCGAAATCTCAAGTATATGATATCTCAGGGCTCAGTGCAAGATCTTTTTTTTTTTTTTCTCTCTCCTGCTTCTTCCTAGATGGTCTCATTAATTTTCATGGGTTTAATGCCATTTCTATACTGATGCTTCTCAAATATATTTCCAGCTCTAATCCTGCATGTCTAACTGCCTGCTGTATGCACCACTGGGAGGTCTCAGATATCTCAAACATGGTATGTTCAAATAGAATGCTTGCTTTTCTCCATGAAACATTGTCTCTCCACCAACTTCACCATATAGTAATTCCAGAAACTTCAGTCTATCTCTCCCTCCCCTGAACACCATATCCTAACATCATTGACACCTGAGAACAGATCTCACCCCAGACTTCTGCTCTCCATTTGTGAAGTCAACACTTTTCACATACATTCTTACAACAACCTCCATCTTCTTGATCTACAATCCATTTATATTCAGCAGCAAAATGATTTTAAAAATGTGAATTGGATCACTTCAGTCATCTGCATTCAACCCTTCAGGGGACACCAATTGCTTTTAAGATAAAAATCCAATTGCTCGCTATGGCCTTAAAGAGCCTAAT